CATAAATAAACATCTTTTCTGCATTATTTATTCTGTGAAATGACAAAGTTTCATATCAGCAAAGTGAAAGACGACTTTCATTGGCCAGCTGGTAATCGTATGAATCGAGCACTGGCTCCGACACAGTTTCTGTGAGAGTGAAAACACAGCGTCAGATTCTTCCTCTCAGGCCGCTGAGATAATCTGACAAATAATAAATATGTCAAAACTAACGGAGAACATGTTGTGAACTCGGTTCTCTGCTGACGTTTGGTTCAGGAAACTCAGTGAAAACAATAAGATGCTGAAACAGCATGAGAAGGTTTTCACTGGAAACAAAGATGGCTGCTTCGCCGTGTGAGCGTCTGGTTTCCACGGTAACGACGACGCTAGCTGTGGTGGTTATTACAGAAATATGGTCCAATAAAGATTTCAACACAAACTGGATTCAATTTATTATATTTTCAAAGTAAATCACATGAAAAAATGTCAGATTTTTTTGTGTAGTTTCATGATTAAATACATTTGTGGATAATAATAATAAAAAAATAGATTCTTACTGGTTAACAGGCCCCCCCACCACAGCCAGTCCTTCAGGTAACCATGGCCTCCATCACCTACACACACACACACACACACACACACACATTAGTGATAATCGGGATTTCTTCTTCTTCTGTGTTTCATGAAAACATCGTTAAAGTCGATCACTCGTCCGCTCTGCTCACCTGCTCTGGTGTGACCGGTGCCGGCCAATCGGAGGAGAGCTTTCTTCTTGAGAATGACGCTGGCCCCGATGAGGAGGGCGGACATCAGAGCCAGAGTCAGGCCGAGCCACAGGTTGTACGAGCTGACATCTGGAGACAAACAGTGAGTCAGTGTGTGTTCATGAGGGTGTGTACCTGCAGTGTGTGTGTTTAATGACTTTATCAGACATGAACAACCCAAAGAACTCCACTAATGAGTTTAAAGATAAATAATCAGACTGTTCACACGTCACTGAGGATTAATCCTGGATTTAAATCGACATGTTCATACTGACATTTGTGTTCATTTTCTCTTTTGGTATAAAAAATGTCAAATAAGACAAATGAGGCTGAAAACTGAAAATGTTTAACTTTAATCTTTCACCTGCAACATG